TCCAGCAAGCTTCGGAAATCAAAACTCAAAAGCTTAGCTTGAGCAGCTTTAGAAGCAGCCAAGGAGTTGCGATCGGTCACATCTGCTGCAGAGCCTTGGCCTTTCAATACTTATAAACAGACAATATACTACTAGTATTGCAAGCGAGTCGGACACGGGGAGTACACAAGAGCTGGTGGTAGTTCTGGATCTTACATATGCAGCTCTACCCTTAGTTCTACGAAAGCCATGATTTGGTCAATGGAGGAATTCTGGTCTAGCCTGGTGGCGATATCGGAGCTCATAATATGAGTAAATACAAAATAACGCTTTTTAACGCTTTTTAACGCTTTTTAACGGTAGACCTGTGTGACATAGGTCTTTGGTGCTAAATTTAACGGTTTTTATCGCTATTTAACGGTCGCCTGTTTTCTAGGACCTACGACGACCCAGCAATAGATACTTAAAAGTGGACCCGGCCTAACTCAGAAGCGAGAATTATTTCTAATATGTGTGAAAGGATAGGAGGACTACTTAAAACCCGGAATTAAACCCGATTCCCAGATAGTTCGAGAAGCAAATAAAGCCAGCTCCAGTCCTAGTGTGGCGAGGGTTTCAAGATTCGGATCTACACAACGAACTATACTTAAATATATGGGGCTAGATAATTATGTAATTATGTACAGGGCTCTAGCTTTAGTCATAATATAGGAGGTATATGTATATGTATATATATATATAATCCCCGAATGCTTCTGTCGCCTTAATTGTATTCTGGCCTTTAAGGTTTCAGGGCTTAAGTGTTTTATGGGGTCCCGGCTATATTGAGACTTGGAGACCCGACTACGAAGAACGTGTTCCGAATTGCGGACCAGCACTAGTTTCGCTAGTTATTATATTTAGGGTTTATTCGGGTGCTATATTTTAGACCCCCTAAAATATTATTCAATCAAGAGCTGGAGTGCCCCGCTTGACATTTTGCCTTGGATCAGCATCCTGCTGCCGAGCAGTGCCTCGGTCGAAGGCATGTTTCCTAACAGCCAGCGAATCTAGGCTTAAAACTTATAATTATAGTACAGGTTAGGCTGCGGGGTTTCAGGGTGCCGGCTTTCAAGTTTAAGGTTTGGGTTCGAGGGTTTAGGGTTAGGGGGCTTTAAGGTGTCAGGCTTAATCGATTTTGCATCGTGGGGGCTTGAATAGACATGGTGAGGTTGACTAGTGTTCCGGGCACCGGATTTCGAAGTTGGGTTCCATAGCTACAATGCATCGGACGATGTGTTTGCCGCATTGGGTTTTGTAACTCTGCATCCATCATGATCAGTTCTTCATGATGAGGCCCTGCTTTGGTCCTGGAGCTGCCTTGGGCTGATATGGGCCTATGCTGCGATGGCAATGCTTGGGATTCCTTGGATTGCAGAGAACACTAAATTATCTTTAATATTATAGGTATATATATATATATATATTGTATATATATAGAGTAAATATTATTATTATTATTATTATTATTATTATTATTATTATTATATTATTATTATTATTATAATTATTCGTATAAGTATTAGTATTATTATTATATCTTTGAATTCTACATCGCTAGCATATGAGGAGCCGAAGGGGCCTCCTAGTATCGAAAGATTCCGGCTTGGACTCGAGCAAACCAACCGTACATAAGTAGATGGGAGTCGTTATATTCCTATCAACCCTTACCCATGAATCCCTGATCATCCGTCGAGCTCTATCCCCCGCCATTCCATATGCTGTCTATATAGATATGTAATAAACCTCGGATCAACCAAGCTAGTTATGTTTCAACATATAATTATATATGACATCTGGCGATATTATGTATAATATCGCCACATGTCATATATAATTATATACCTAAATTCTTATATTATATTATTTTATAAACCCCAACTAACCTTGAACCCTCCCAGAGACTCCAATGCCCCTTAATTAATCATGATCTTAACGAAATTATAAATGGACCCTATATTATGACTCAAGGTGTATCCCTTAATTAAGGGGTATTGGAGTCTCTAGGCTGAAAAACCTGAAGCCTGAAAACCTAAACCACCAACCTAAACCCTAAACCATATCAACTAAACCCGATTAATGTCGAAGCAACAGCTAGACGAAGTAGTTTATGTACCTATAATATTAAGTAGACCCATGGATGTGAACCCTGGCCCTAGCCTTATTAACAAGAGCTGAGTAATGTCCCCCCAAGTGAAACCAAACCAAGTTTAATTCATAAAGGCAGCCCAGGCATCACGAACAGAAGCTGTGGCACAAAGTCCAGGAGATAACCTGCGGCGACGATTATGAGCGATTCGGAATTTTACAACACGATGCTATGTATTGGGAAGGGACTTGGCCTCAACATATAGGTGGTAGGGCATTTATTATTTTGAGTGTATCCCCACATGATAAGGAGTCTTTTTTTGATTAAAGGTGCGGGTCCTACATATACCGAATTCGAAGGGTGTTCTTATAGAATTATTACAAAGCATGGGCCACAACGAATCTCAGGCTGATTCCCCGACTTCTTTCACGAAGTGGCTACATACCCTGGGAGGAGGGGCTTGGCTTGTGTGAGGTGGTCTACGTGTTCCTCAGAATTCGAATGGGCCTACAGGGTATTAGGGTTTGTTTAAATTTAGGGTGGAGCAACCTATTATCTATGTAGCAGGAGGCTGCCAATATTAACTGTTGACAACCATATTTCGAACTACAGCGGTAAATCAAAGGCTTACAGTGAGCAGCCCCAATCCTATGTGATTATGGGGCTCAGGATTGCATGGGGTTGAGGGACATGCCGATCGGGTCCAGGCTCCTTTCGAGCGGTGGGTCCAGGCTCCTCTCGAGCGGTGGGTCAAGGCTCCTTTTTAGCCGGATTCCGGCCCAGCGGCGGGGCTTGAGGGTTCAGTCGCTGCTGGCGGAAGTGGTTGCAGCTTCGACCGGCTGTGACCTGTATTTGCTGGTCGGCAGTGGGTAATCGCGGTTGGCATGCTGTGTGCCCAAGGGGCTGTATCTTCCAGATGTCCCAAATAGCTGTTTCGCCAGAACTTGTAACCGGGACTGCCAGCAACAGCGGCTGGAATCGATAGCAGTCGAGAAGTGTCCACGTTGAACTTTTGCCTCGCGAATGACACTGATACACCATCGTCAAAAACCGGAGCACATCTGGCTCTGCCAACTTCCAAAGTGAGGCTTTGAGCTAGACACTTATTAGTACTAGCTCGCTTCGGGCTGTGGCGGCTTGGTTTCGTATTTATTACTTATTATTATTATTATAAGGGAAAGTGCAGCCTATGTATGAGGCGGGTTCTAGCACTAATTAGGAAAAGCTCCGAGAAGCTTCAGGGAAGGGGCTGGTTAGACTCGTTGAACCGATGGGTTTGGATAACACAGGATCGGGTGAATTTTTGATTAGGGTTTACAGATCAGGAAAGGTAGAGCAAGTAGGGGATGACCCGAAAGGAGATTCAAGGGCTCGGCCTGACTGGGGTTTGGTTGGGATCTCATCATCCTGCTAGAAATAAGAATTGTACGAAATCAGATAGAAGTTTCAGGCTTGCTATTCAAGAACGATTAAACTCCTTGGAAATTCGGGGTGCGGTCATGAACAGGATATTACGGTTTAGGGGTTTAGGGTTTCGGGATTTATGCATGACGTTGTAATTGTAAACCACTGCCAGCCTGCGTCCGAAATTCTGGGTTCCATCAGACCCATATATTATCCGAAGTCGAACTCTAGCTTTACCTGGCTATAGCAACATATTCCGAAGCGGAACCCCGCCTTGCTTAAGTAATGTGATTGACACCGACCCGAAGCCTGAAATTACGAAACCGGGCCTGCCCCGTACAAGTCCCAAAATTCCCTTTATGCAAGGCTTTATTAGGGTTTTGTGGCTTGGGTTTGAGAAGCATATCTAAGGCAATACAACCAAAACTCAGCACAAGCCTAGAAAGGCCCGGCCAGGGCTATAGCTAGTCAACCGAACCCCATATCAGCCTCACCCCCCCAGCTGGCCGGTAAAACATTACACCTATACCTAGACCCTGATCCGAAACCCGAGCTCCACAACTGTACATTGAACACTTCCGGCGACACCTCTATATTAATTGCATCTTGCCCGAAACTAGCGACGACTTATGCAGCCATTCCCCACCTTCTTAAGCTACAGCCTAAACTTCACAGCCCCAGATCCGAAATGTGATAGTCCGAATCCTTGGTATATGTATGTATTTATATATATATATGTATAGAATTCCCGACTTATTATCCGGAGCCATTATGCCAATAATAACGGACTGGCGGACTCACAACCCTAGATCTGTGCCTACCACTAGACAACTTAGCCTAAAGCCACCCCAAATAAATGGGCAACACCCGCTACATTATCCCTAAACCACATTGGTGATCTCAGGCTTTGGCTGCTGGGCAGACACAGCACCGTCGCTGCGACCTGGGATGCAATCGCTCTTCTGATCACAAGGCAAGCTTCTTGGCTCTTCTGGTGTTTCGGCGCAAACTTTGCTTTCAGGGCTTGCACTTAAAATAAAGGAAGCCAAGTAACTGCATATACTCGCCGAGTCGTGCCGAGAAACACCTGGGCTGCAAGGTTAGGGTCTCTGGTTTAGGGTCTGTTATTTGGGGTTACGTAGGGTTTACGAGGAAGGGTTTAAACATTATTATGGGGTTCAGGTCTCGGGATTAAATTTTAAAGGTATAGAATTTAGGGTTCAGGGGTCAGGGGTTTACAATTTTTAATCTTCGGCATATGAAAGATTAGCACAAGCTGATTTGGAATTCATGATTGCAATCAGGGAACATCTCAGCCCACATGGGACCAGGGGCCCAGGAAGAAGAGATCAAAAGTCGAGGGTCATGATCCCATAGCTAGCGATCGTCGGGTATATTATTAGCATGACTAGTATTTTCATGGGGTATTGTTACTCATGGAAACGACCACGGCCCCCACATCAAAACTGAAGTGGCTCAGCGACCCTAATCACTGTCGCGGCATTTCAAGGCGTTTGACTGCCTCTTTCACAGCAGCCTCATCCTTCATGTTCGGTGCCGGTCGTGGTGGCTGCACCCAGCCGGCAAACAGCAGCGATAGCTTCCATGCAGAGACGGGCCCATACTTTCGAAAGCTCACGTTGGAGCCTCCGGACTTGTTCACCTGAGAATCACACACAATTCGCCAGAGGCACAAGTCACACTCAAGGCCAGCAAACTGCAACAAACTCATCATTCAGACCAGTGGCTGAAATGCCGTAGGTATTTGCGAACTCTCGCACCACGTGATCCATGGACACCGCAGGAACATAGAATCCGTATTGGTTTGCCATCAAAGTGATGCTGCTGCAGCCCTGATACATCGGATCCCGAATCGTATAGCACCTTAGATGCAAGAGTAAGTACAGCTCCGGACAAAATCCCAAATCCCAAACCAACACCACTGGTTTTGCTCAGGGGCTTCCGTGTCTGCTGCTCTGGATCGGGCATCGGGAAGCCGTGGTGGCTTCCGATTTCTCGCAGCTCGGACATGATATCCTGAATGACGAAGTCCACCTTAGATCAATGAATTATGGCTAATAAAGTATAATTTGGACTCGACAACATACATATGCGTGCCAGTCCTGCCTGGGACTTCCTTTTTTTCGCTGGCGGCTCCTCATCATCATCCTTTCCTGCCGCCTCTTTGTTCTCCGTTGGTCCTTCTGCTGCAGCTGTCGCCTTTGCATTCTGCTTTGCTGCCTTGCTCTTTGCTTTTCCTGATCACAATAAGTTTAAGTGAGGTCTGAGGTCTGTCATGCATGGAGATATACAGACATACACATATTAAGGCAAACCCGGCCTCGACCCTTGGCCGCCTGTTTCGCGGCCTTTTCCATGCGGCCCTTGGCCTTCATCTCTCTCTGCTTTTCCAACAGCTCGACACTTTCCTCCACCCCGAGCCCCATGTCTTTTAGCTGTCCCTTCAAAGCTTTGCTCGGCGGAGGGATTGCATCAGCTGCGAGCTTTGCCTGGCCCTCCTGCTCAGAAAACATGGACTCACAAGACTAGGGCTTGCTACTTCCGGACAACCATCGGCCTGCTGCTTCAGCTTCGCATCTGCCTTTGCAGTAATCACTGGCTCCTGCCAGTGCGTGGTTTGATTTCGGAGCTGGAGCAGAATTCGAGGTTTTTAGGGGGTTATAGAGTTTAGGGTTCAGGGACTAATTAGTAACTGGTTATTTTAGGGGCAAAGTACCAAAACCCCAATTAGGGTCCCGTTTAGGGTACTTATAGGTCTACTTACTATCTACTTCCTAAGTCCCCCGACGTGGTTATTCAGGACTTCAAGTTTCAGAGTTTCAAGTGCTAATCTTCCTCTCTCTATGTCTTTCTTTCTCTGTCTCTCCCTCTCTCTCACACTCACTCACTCACTCTGTGATCTCCTCGCGGTCCTTCTCCTCTTCTTCCTCTTCCTGCTCCTCTTCGTCGTTCTCTTCCTCCTGCTCCTCGAGCTGATCATCACCCACATTCTCATCATCATCAGGATCAGGAGCCTCGCCATTGTCCTGGGCCAGGAAAACAATCTAGATATAGTTTTGTTTGTATCCCCGGCGCTAGACTCCTAATCTTCAGCCCTCAAACTTTAAACCCGAAAGCTCTATAGTCCACCAATGCAACTTAAGGATCATTCTCCGGCGGCTGCGACTCCTCCTGCTGGGTGTCTAGGCTCACAGAGGATGCTCCTTTGCCATTGCTCCGTACATCCTTAGATCAGGAGTGAAATATATAATAATGGGCCACACAGCTTGTTCACAAGACTGCGGGAGTTGAGTCGAGTTGCTTGCAATGCCTCGCCCATGTTGGTATCTTCTGCTGGCCCAGAGGCGAACATCTGACAAAATCAAGATCAAGATATGATTTCGGAATGTTCGCAAGTAGCCGACTCGGGCCTCGAAGCCATCGAAGGACGAAACCAAATTCTTCAGCTGAATCTCCTGGGTCCTGATCGGCGTGCAGCTTCAAGCTTGTATTGAAACCTCTAAGCCACCTTTGCAATAGTCCTTGCATCAATCGTCCGCTTCGTCATCCTGATGATAAGTGCCAGTAGAGCTCGAAGTCTTCCTGCTTGGCCCTGGGCCCAGTCCTGAAGCGAGGGAGGATTTAGCATATTGAAGCTCGAAGCTTAAAGAGACTTTCATAATTGATTCAAGCATCTTGAATATCTTTCTTCAGCACCTTCCGTTGAGGCTTTGCAGGGTTCTTTGTTTCAACGATCGTCCCTGCTACGAGCAGGCCACGATCATCATTCAGCTTCAGAAATCCAGCCTCGGATCATACCCGATAGAAACCATGACGGCCAAGCTTGAAGCTGCTGCTCTAATGCATGCCTGGGGGCTTTAATTGCCAGAACAGATGGCGGCTGCAGCTCGTACTTCACCAGGAAATTAAGCACCACATTGAAATTCAGCAGAATCTGAGCTCAGTGACACAGTTTCAATGCTTTCAGAAGTCCCCAATCCCCAATGCGACAATCGGCTTGTTGCAAATCCCAGCAGCATCTCGCTCATAGACCCCGCCTTGGCCAGCCGAGATTGCATCGATCTTCACCAGATCCTTCTCCTGGCGGGAAGGGAAAAAGAGCAGCTGCAAGCTTTGGGCTTTCTTAGGTTTTAGGCTTAAGGGTTCACGAAATATGTGGGGGCCTCGGAACTCCGAACTGCTGCCCAATCGATGTCTGGGTAGGCGATCTCCAAGCAAAGACGGATCTCAGCAGGGGAATCCTCGCGAATATGTTCAGCACTGAAATACATGAGACCCACACAGTGTGCACACAGAACTCAAAATCAAGCCAGAAGAATGCAGCCCGGGCTTCGATAGCAGCCTCCTGAATATCAGCGGGCTGTGCTCCGGAGGCCATGATACCAAGAAGCACAAAAGCGGGGCCCGGGACCACCACACGACAGGCCGAACAATGCCTAGACCGCATGCCTGAAACTCCGGTTGCCGGACTACATATGAACCCTGCAATATCTCATGCGTGGTTTCGCTTCACTTTGGGCCGACTTCGGAATCCAAAGTTTGCAGTGCACAAATCAACGACAGCATCACAAAGCACGGTGGGGGACAGCACCATCAGCTGAAGAAGCCCTGCTGCCCTGATCATCCGCTTCAGTGGCAGCTCTCGCACGGCCCATGGACAGGGCTCGCTTCATTCCGCTTCATGATCAGTGAAATTTCGGTTGATAGTTATAGTACAGAGCTTAGGGATTATATAATTATGGGGTTTGGGGTATTAGGTTGGACCACTGCCTACCCGAAATCTGGCAACTTCGATTTGAAGCTGGATCGGCGAATCTTCGTGTATGTATATATATATATATATATATATATTATACGAATACTTATTATATAATTACAACATTATGCATATATATATATATATATATATACCCCATAGATCTATGGAAACCTGGGTTTGGGTCGGACTTAAGCCAGAGACGCTACGGGAACGGCGTTTGAAGCAAGACCGCATATGTTAAGGCGTTGCGACGCCCAGGGAAAGTTGGAAACCCCAGAGCCCCAATCCTTAAGAGTCATATATAAAGGGAACTCCAGAAAGTTGGAATATGGATTAATGGTAGGATCCCCTATTTTTTACCTTAAAGGGGATACGATAATGATATTCCAACTTTCTGGCCTCTACTGTAGGGAATCCCAGCACTATTTGGCCTTAATCCGGTTTCCAACTTTATGGGGTCTACTGTAAGCCCCATGTCCTAAACCCTACAAAAGGCTGAGGATCCCTTGAGGAGTCCCGTAAAGGAACCCGTATAGATCCCTTAGAGGAGCCCTTAAATCCCTTCTAGAACCCAGGGAATACTTGGAGGGTCGGGGGGGCCTAGAAAGTAGGTGTTGATTAGGTAGACTTACAAGTACCCGACAAGGAATCCTAATCGAGGATAGGGCACTTATAACTCTCTGAAATAACTACTGCCTGAGTCCCCAAACCGGCCATGCAGCAAGAAGCATCTACTCAGAAACCCCTAAGCCCCTAACCCTAAACCCTAAACCCTAAACCTTAAACCCCTTAAACCCCTAAACCCTAAACCCTCAACCCCCAGACCCTAAACCTTAAACCCGACCCTAGACCCTAAACCCTAAACCCTCAACCCTAAGCCCCAAACCCCGTAGACCCTAAACCCTAAATCCCAAATCCTACCTTAACCTACCAAAACCCACTTTTTTGTAGGGTCCCTACAAATTCGATATTAGGGTTTATACTAAGAACCTCCAAAAATGTTGAGTTTGGTAGGTTAAGGTAACCTTCAAGCCCTAAACCCTGAACCGGAATAGAAAAGAAGCAGCTAAGCTCAAGGCGACCTCTCGGAACAAGCACCGCTTCTGACCAAAGAAACTGCGGCCCTGCCGTGAGGATCAAAAGGGTCCCCCAGGATCTGGGGTTTCCATAGGAGGCCAAAAGGGGTTCCCTTTAAAGGGTTCCTATAAGGATTACCATAAGGGTACTATAAGGGTTCTAGAAGGGTACTATAAGGGGTTCTATAATGCAGGAGGCCAGAAGGGGTTTTAGCCTATGGGGGTTTAGTAGGGAGTAGGGTTCCCATAATAGGGTTCATACTACAAAATCCCTACCCCAAGAATCTTAACCCCCCTCCCATCAGTTTAGGGGTTAGGGTTTAGGGTATTAGAGTTTAGGGCGTTAGGGTTCAGGGGTTAGGGTTTATGGCTTAGGGTGTGATAGAGCGTTTCCGAAAATTAGGTGTACCTTCTTTTGGGGTCCTTGTTGCAAGGATCTTACTATTCAGGGTACTGTATTAGGGTCCTCTAGTTTCGGAAACCCCAAATGCCCAACCAGGATCTGGGTTTGCTGCAAGGAGTTCGGGTTCGTTTATGCAGGGTTAAGTTAGGGATCCAAAAAGGACATAAGCATCAGCTTTTTATAGGGATATCCCTGCCTTATTCGGCTTCATTACAGGGGGCTTTGTATGGGACACCCCTATCATTATTTTTACGTCCACGCTTTTTTGCGGCCCTAATTTGGGGTTCGTCTATGTAGGGTTCAGGGCCCTCAGGATTTGGGTTTGTTGTTGGGATTTGTGGTTTGGGGGCTTTATGGTTTGAGTCTTTTGGCTTTCAGGATCTGGGTTTGTTGCAGAGATTTAGGGCTAGGTTTTAGTAATTTAGGGTTTTGATAGGTTCAGGGATTTTGGGCTTCAGGCTTTAGGGCGTTTCGGCTCATTGTTGTAGGGGTTTAGGGTGACCTTAGGGTTAAGGGTGGGCTCTATAAGGGTCCTTTAAGGGTTCTGTCAGGGCTCGGCAGGGGTTGTATAGGGCTTCTGTAAGGGTTTAGGCCAAGTTGAGGCTTCATTGTTAGGGATTTTGGGTTTTCGGCTTTAAGCTTTTGGGGCTTCAGGGTTTTGGGGGTTCAGTCTTTGGAGCTTCTGAGTTGAAGGTTTTGGGTTTCTGGTTTGAGGGTTCGGGTTCCGGGTTTTGGGCTCAGGGTTTAGGGTTTAGTGGTTAGGGTTTAGGGGTTAGGGTTTAGGGGTTAGGGTTTAGGGGTTAGGGTCAGGGTTGAGGGTTCGGGTTCCGGGTTTTGGGCTTAGGATCTGGGTTCTGGGTTGGTGAGGGCCATAGAAGGGCTCGAAGGGAATTATATCATGAGCTCGACCACTTTAAGTTTTGAGGTTTTAATGCGTTTATGGGGTGGTTAGTGTTGAGTGTTCGGGATTTGTGGTATAATATAGGAGCATTAATGGTTCGGCAGCACATTCTGACCAGCTTATACAGAAACTTGAGCGTTTATGTACCGGTTTTAGGGGTTCATGGCGTTTCCAGACCCTGCCAGAGCAGCTTATCACAATTATCTTAATCCCTACAGCATCGTTCCAGCTTGTAGATACTTTTAAGAAAGAGTCCGGAAGCAGGGCGGGGTGCAGATGTTTTGTCAGGATCGTTTGAGGCATCTGCAGTTTTTTGGGGTGTAAAGTCACAAGTCGGCCACCAAACCCTAAATCCGTCAAGCTTCAACAGGGGA